GTTGAGAACCACTGGTCTAGAGGCAGATGGGGATAATAGAAGCTCCAAGCACTTGTGAAAGCAAGAGGGATGTAACCCAGAGCCCTGGAGGCACCAGCCTTGGGTAGGAGGAGGAGCATATGTTACAGGAGGCCTAAAGGGTAATGATTCAGGGAGCTTTGTGGAGAGATTCGTTCTACCTAAAGGGAAAGAATACTCTTATTTATACCTTGTCTGAGCTCTGATGGCTTAATCTATGACTTGAATTAACATTTCTCTAATAGAAACACGAAATACTTATGCACTACATTCATGACTAAGAAATTAAAACGTATGTACTATGAGGGCAGGGTGGAAGGGGTCAACGGGAAAAAAAGGGGGACATCTGTAATACTTTCAACAATAAAGCTAAATTAAGAAATATGTACTGTATTTCAAAATGTATTTGCTCAAATTTTTAAAAGATTGTTTATACATTTCCCCCATTATCTGAAAATGGAGTGTTCCTATGAAACCTTCCGTAAACTGAAATGGGGAAGAAGCAATTACCACCTTATGACATATCTAGGACACACAAAATAAATTGAGATAAATAAAGCACCGATGCTCACACACATAGTTCAAAGCTAAGGTGGCTTGTTCCTGCGGAAGGAGCTAGTGGTACCATTCTCCCCGCTCAGGGTGAGTGCTGCCTCTGAAATGCTCTCCCTGCCAAACAATGCTGAACACTACTTTTGCTTTTCTTATTCTTTTGTAGACTCACAAATCCTTTTCAAATTTCTTTTGGTTAGCAAAAACATGTAATAGTGTAGGTCTTTTATAAAAGTGAAGTGGCATAAAGTAAACTTTCAAAAAGCAGTAGATACTTGTAGTGAATGAAATGTAAATTTTAATTAAATCACGGTTCTAATATAAATAGATCCTCTTAAATGCTAAAAACTTTTAAAGTAGCTAGAACGTTTTCAAAATATACAGGGCGTCCCCCCAAAAATCATATATACACACTTTAATAGCTGATAGCTCAATTGATGTCTCTTTCTTTTCAGATTTAACCCATTGGAATTAATAATTATACAAAGTGTGTATACTTCTTTTTGGACACCCTGTATTTGCTATCATTTGAGACCTTAAACACCAGGTCCTGCTCTGCGTTAGCTGTGTGATTTTAATATCCAAACCAACCATATGAAATTATTCTCTTGAATCTTAGACACAAAGAAAGTAAGCATATGGTCACACAGCTAGTGAGCGGCAGAGTTGAGATTGAAATCTGTGTTCTTTGTAGGCCAGAGGACAGAAGGATCATGGGTTTGATTCTGGTCTAGGGCACGTACCTTGGTTTCAGGCTTGATCCCCCACATGTAGGAGGCAACCAGTCGATGTGTCTCTCTCACATTGATGTTTCTCTCTGTCTCTACCCTCCCTTCCATTCTCTCTAAAATCAATGGAGAAAAATATCCTCAAATGAGGATTAAAAAAAAAAAGAAACCTATGCTCTTACTCGATCTTTCCCCTTTATTATTATAGTGAATACAAAATAGATTATAACAGTTTTGTTAAAACCAGTTAGAGAAATGCTAATATCACAACTTTAAATTAGTTTCCTTATTATCTCTATTTAATAACTGAGTGGGACGTAATTTGTTATGTATAGTGTGCCTCACAGAGGTATACACACACTTAGAATAATTATAAAAGAAGTGTTTATTAAAAAACATTTCATTTTTAAAATTGAGCTATCAGTTGTTGAAGTATATATAGACTTTTTGGGACACCCTGTATATTCCTAGAGATGCAATAATATTACCAGGCAATATGTTTATATTTTATTTGGGTTTCAGTAATTTTTAAGACCCCAAAAGGAAAAACATCCCAGATTAGACATATTTTTGGCTCATAGATGCTGGAAGGAAAATGAACCTTGTTTTACAGTCTAGTTCTTTAAAATCTGAGCAGATCATTAAGTTGAGTGCTTTTTATAGTAAAGTGTAGCAACCCACTAATTATTTTTCAACTTCACACAGATTTTACTTAAATTTTTAGTTCTATAAATATATAATACATGCACATGGTAGAAAATCCAGAAGATACAAAAGGGTATGTGGAGAAAGGTAAGCTTCTCTCCCATTCCTGTCCCTCAGTCATTCAGTCTGTCCTCAGGGGTGTTATATCTCTCTATTTAGGCACATTTTATATTGCATATATGGATGTATTTTTATGTGTGGCAGAATATCTCATACATTGTTCTATACCTTTATTTTTTATTTTGAGCTAATTTTAGACTTATAAAAGAATTGCAAAAATAGTAGAGAGAGTTCCAAGATGTGTATCACCCAGCTTCCACTTAGGTAAACATCCTACATAACAG